ATGAGGTTCTTGGTGCCTCTAGTTTGACAGTAAATTCATGGTTACCGTCTGTTTGACGGGTTCGCCTGGTAGGTGCTACTCTCGGTGGAATCATACGTGCCAACTCTTCAGAGCATTTTCCGTGATAGTACCTGTAGAAGAGAGATAAATCGCCCACAGATCTGCGATGTTCGAGACCATCCAAGTTACGAGTAAGTGCGGGGGTCATTGATCAGCTTGATAGCTCGTTTTTGCACGGTATTCAAAAGCATTAAAGTATGTTTGGGGTGCTGCACTCCATATATGTGAGCAGTACTCCATAGTTGGTCGAATCTGGGCTTTGTAGAGTGTCAGCAATTGGCTTGGTGTGTACAGATGTCTTGTACGAAATAGCACCCCCAGCTTTTGGGAGGCCCTTTTAGCAATATCTGCCACGTGACTGTGCCAAGACATGTTGGTCTCTGCAGTAACCCCCAAGATGTTCAACTGACTCTGTAATGTGACAGCACTTCCAGATAGCATGATGTTTGGCTCACCGGTGCTGGTCTTTTTTGAAAACAGAGCTGCTTGGGTTTTCTGCGCGTTGAACTGTACAAGGTTTTTGTTACCCCAGTCCTCTATTATCTCCAGGTCGTTATTTATCTGCGATATTTGAGTTAGTCTAAGATGATGGAATTCACGTGCGGAAAGACCTGTGGGTGGTATGAGTGAGGAGACTACATTGCCATCGTCTGCAAAGCAATAAAGTGGATTTACTGTTTTATCTATGAGGTCATTTATGTAAATCAGGAAAAGAGTTGGCGAAAGGATTGCTCCCTGTGGCACACCAGCATTTATTTGGTAAGAGTTGGAGTTCTGGCCATCCAGTGCAACATAAATGGATCTGTCCTTTAGGTAACTTTCAAACCAAGTGCAAAGTTTCGGCGATAATCCCATTGCTTTGAGCTTGTTGAGCAGATTTTCATGCCAAACTTTGTCGAATGCTTTAGATATATCTAAGGCAATTGTTCTTGTTTCACCCCGCAACTCAATCGCTTTTTGCCATAAGTGAGTGACGTATGTAAGTAAATCGCCAGTTGACCTATATTTTCGAAATCCGTATTGCTTATCGTTGATAATTTTGTACTTTTCCAAGTACTTGGTTAGGTGATTGTTCACAACTCTTTCCATTACTTTTGATATCACCGGAAGTAGAGCAGATGTTCTTTTGATGTTTATGTAACCTCTACATGACTGCCGAATGTCCGCAACACATGGAAGTTTATAGTTCTTACCATGGATGTTACCTACAGAAGTTGACGTAACATCACAGCGCGAGGTTTTCAGTACTTCGCAGTAGGGTTGCATGTGAATATCTATAGAACTTAGCTTTGAACGTTGACAGAACATCAGAAAGGGACTTTCATCTAACATCCCATAGAGATTACAGATTGATGTCTTTTAAACATTACTATTAGATTTTCAAAGAACTTCTATAATGAGCTACATTATTATGTTTATTGACAAAGAAAATATTTATTTTAATAGGTGAAAAATTATGGTGACAACCGAAAAACTTCAAACGCAACATAAATCAGCATTATGAAAAACAAAATAATGTTGGCACCCTGAACTTCATGAAGAAATACACGGAAAAATACACAGATGTAATACGGGCATAACAATTATATCTAGTATATTATGTACATAATTTCTAATAGAGGTTTACGACGGGAAGTCTTTCATAAACATTTATGCTTATTCCGGTAAAGGTAATTCGATTTTATGTTTATTCAAAATATTGAGTAACTTTGAAGCATGGGCCAAAGGAATGTGATTTTCTATCACCCAATTTCTTAAATCTGCAATCAATAACTCGTTCAATTTATTTGATTTGGTTTTACACTCCAGACAACAACATGTATCACACAAAGAATCAGAATCAGGAGACTTAGGACGAGAACTGGATACATTACTATCAGAAGGAATATTCGAAGTAGAGGAGTCTGTAGCTTTAGCTACAGACGTAGATTCAGGAGGAGGCCTGATTGGGGCAGGACCAAGCAGCTCATTTTGACTAGAAGAGGCTTGAGATGAGGACAATAGTAAGGCAGAATCAGAATTATGTTCTAGGCCTCTTATAATCTGCTGCCTCAATCTACTCTTTCGCCTTTTCGAACGAGCTTTTACTGGCTTACGCGAACGATGCATATTGAATTACCCTATATTATTTGATAATATAATTGACCTTTTGTTTGGACGCCATATTGCGGTGCGCGAACATAGTTGCCAAAAGAAGAAAACAAAAATTGAAAAATTACTAGCGGACTGTCAACATTAAAAACAAAAGTAGCAGAGTAACTAAATGATTGATCCTCGCTAACCTTTTTGTTTGTTTACTTTCTCTTTCTGATTCTATAAACAAACAAACTTTACCTATTTTTTGAATTCATTTTCATTTATCATTTTAGATACGTATTTTGGTGTGGGATTTATTCTGGATTGCATTTTCCATTAACATTTAGTATCCTTACTATCCTAGGCTTTTCCCTATAGTCCACTTTACAGATTTTTCTCATTTACACGTTGATCGATGGCTTTTCTTTTCAAAAACATTCGTAATGGGCGGCAAATTTAAATTTTAAATGTAATTTATTCGGTAACTTTTGTTTTTAATGTTGACAGTACGCTAGTATTTTTTTTCTGCTTTTGGCAACTATGTTCGCGCACCGCACTATGGCGTCCAAACAAAAGTTCAATTGAATGGGTACCTACAAAAACATGTTTGTACTTACCGCCAGTCCAGTCGTTGACCCTAATCAAAGCAAAATCACGAATCGAGAGTGTTTTTACTTTTTTTTTCACACTAATTTACACAATCACAGCAAAAGAATAATTATTATTGCACATTACACATTGCACAAAGGAAGAATCGTAGAAAAGCGTCAAAATATGTGAGGTTAGGTGCTCGCAGGCGTGCAGGCAGTGAGCATCGCTTGGAATGAAAAAACGGGTGGGGAACGAGGATTCTTTCTTTTAAATGTTGCCAAATGTTGATCTAAAATAACTCGGGTATATTTAAAAATCCGTTATGAAGTACTTCCACTGAATGTTTGAATGAAAATTATAGATGACACTGTGTTGTAACGTTTTCTAAACATCCGATAAAAAAAAGCAAAATGATTTGAAGGATGTAACTCTATTCCGGATTTTGATAGGTTTTACAAGCGGCGATACATTTAGACGTTCATGGTAAGTTTACAAAATACATTTATAAAATATCTCTTTGAGATATAAAATGGAGGATCGCAGTGTAACGTAACCGTAACATTCCTGGCACATTGAAAAGAAAAGTTTTATAAAAACATTCGCTAGACAATATTATTCCATGTGAAACGTCAATAAAACGTTGAAGGTACATCACATATAAATGTTTTTTGGTTCACATTTAAAAAACATTGCATAAAAGCCTAGCTGGGGCTATTTCTGAGAAAACACTGTTCCAGCTGTGAGAAGAACGGGTCTTATCTTTAATAATAAATGGACTATCAAACAAATGAGAGAAGATCAAGAAGCAGACCAGGACATCGAGTAAATTCTACATCTTGAAGAAAATGATAAAGATAGGAAAGAAGGGAGGGATGTGTCGAACAAGAGCTTGATTTACAAGGCGTTGTGGGCTCAGTGGAACTTTCTGGCCGTAGAAAATGGTTTACTCAAAAGAGTTTGGGAAAGTGCCGATGGGAAATCCACTAAGAGCCAACAGATTATTCCAAAAGATCGAGTAAAAGATGTATTAAAAGAAGAAGTATCAGGAGTATTCACTTTAAAAAGATTTTTTAGTAAATGTTTTGAACTTTGACTTTTAATGTTGTTCTATGACAAATGAAATGTTTACTCACCATTGCACAACTGAATAGAGAATCTGAAAATAATGAAAATTTTAATGTGACACTCGAAAATCTGATTCAACAGGACCATTTTAACGAATTTTATTAAAGTGGCATTATCTCGAAAACCATCGATTTTTTACTAAGGTCATATTATGTTTTTCTGGATGCTAATGAGTTGTTCCATCAGCCCTTTCAGTATTATCGTTGACTTTCCGGACACCCTGTATATAATATTCAATTATCTTTTTTTTCAGTCTCATGACGTTAATTCGCTAATCCAATTAAATTTGTTTGAGGGAACGTCCTTCGTTGTATGTCAGCTTGAAATTGAGTTCTCAAAAAAGTTTCATATGCATACGTGAATTACGCGGTAATGCTGATTAATTGCCTGGCACGTCAAGGAATAAAATATTACGTAGGTACTCTGTTTTTTTTTGTAAACCTTATGAAATTTTTCAGTATTGAATGAAAGTGCAAATATTGATCTTGATTGAGCACAAGAGGAATCAGTTCACAGCTGATTGAAGCTATTTCTTTTAAGTGTAGAATTTTATTTCTCTTTGAGAATAATAGCAGCAATATACCTAACTTAATGAGCAAGCTCCAACTTAACAGGAAACAATCAGCTAAAGCTCAATAATTTGGTGCTCTTCAACGAGAAAACCTTTTGTTGAATGCTTTTCCCTTTATTCTTAGATTCTATATTTCCTTTTAAAATTTCAACAACTAGCGTAGCTATACTCATGAAGTTTAACTTATTTTGCCTGGTACCTATGTCTTTTCCGTCCAATAAATTGAGAAATTTGCGAGCTCCGTGGATGTTCCACTTTCCTGCTTGAAGCGATTTAGAGTCTTTAATGATCTAATCCTGGAACTTTGAACTGCACAAGTCAAGAACTTTGATTAACTTTAACTTAACCTTTTCCAAATTGTAACGTTTCAAAATAGCCTTTCAAGCTTCTGGATTAAGTTTCGAATGTTTACATTTAAAACATTGGTTTAAATGTGCAAATATCGCCTAACTCCAAAGCATACTCTCAAATTATCGAACGAGGGCGTCTTTCTTGAAACCTATTTTCACCCATCAATTTATCATAAATTCTAGTCAAACAGAAAATGCACCATTACTATATTGTTTGTTTGTTTCAGGTACATCGATAAAAACCATATCCTATGCTCCCACCAACGATGTACTTTAGGCATCATCATCTGCTATCTTCTCCCCATTTTCCTCTGCCTTCCTCAATACATCACGTTCAAGATCGAAACCATTTGCCTGGAAGAAGACAGCATCCTCTACACCCTTTACAGAGTGGGTTTGAGCGATATCGTTGAAAAGCACAAAGCCCTCCTGAAAGTTAACTTTTGGATTTATTCTATTTTTCTAAAGATATCACCTTGCGTTATTTTGATTGTCATCAGTATTTGGCTAATAAGAACGTTGTTCAAAGCCACAAAAGGCCGACAAGTGCTCAAAGGCTACGATAATATATTACCAGGAAGAGAGAGCAATAAAAAATTATCAAAATACGAAAGAAGAGCTGATAGGACTACAAAAATGCTGATAGCTATACTGTTCCTGTTTCTATTGACAGAGCTACCGCAAGGGCTGTTCGCTCTAGTCATCGCTCTGGATGGCAAAGAGCTATTTTTGACATGCTATCAACATTATGGAGAAATAATGGACATTTTTGCGTTGCTCAATGGATCCATCAACTTTATATTGTATTGCTGCATGAACAGGATGTTTAGGATTACATTTGGACAGTTATTCAGGAGCAAGATCCTGAGCAGGTGGGCGCAGCCCACTATTTCGGATACTCCTACCCTGTAAGTAGACTTTTTGATTAGCGTAGTTTATTATTTTTTGTAATTGACTTCTCAAAATAAATGTTAGTTTCTAGTTCTTATTTGGACAGTCATTTTGTTCTACAATTCTAAACTCTGCGCAGTTGATTTTTATTCCCATTTGGTATCTATACCTATACCAACCAAAGGCATGGAAAATCACGAAAGCATACTTTCAAGTCTTGCAAAATTGCCAGTAAAAATGATATTTTTACGATTCACATATACGTGATCGGATAAGAATTTGGATTCCAATCCAGTTGGTCCATTGATAAAAGTCGTTTTCGAAACAGTAAAAAAATTTATCGTTTTTGGTGTTGAGCGTGCAAAAACGGCCCTTGGCTGAAACTTTTATAGAAAATGGAGATGGTTTGTTTTTATAGGCGCGTAGATTTTGGAATGTAAACGTAATTGGAATATTTTTGCTCAAAATCTGTTTTTGTCGTATAAAACGAAAGGAAACCAAAACTTCAATTTCTCCAGGCATTAAGTGGATATGATTGAGTCTGCAAAACTAATTTTGAATATCCCCGAAACAATAGGTATGAGAAAAAATATACTTAAGAGCTTGTATTTTCTTGAATGCGGTTTTCTATTCTTATTTCATATAACTTTTTTTTTAACATCAAATTATAAAACCGAGAAGATACATAAAGTTCGCTTTTCTCATATTACACTAGTAGACCAGGCACGTTTTCAAACATGAACAATGCAAGAAACATTTCCTTCAATAATTGAGGATTTGTTTTTAGGGTATTCCGAACCCGCTGAATATGAATCTACTGCCAAAGCAAAATTTGGACGGAAAGTTTGATATCCGCCAGGATGGTTTCCAAAACTCTGTTTCCCTATATATCCCTTATCCGTTGACTTGAAATATTGATTTAAACGTCTACTTAGGGGTTTTCTCTGATTCTAAGCACATTCCAATGCTTGAAATTTACTTACCTTAAGTTCAAAGTGCATGATGGCCGCCAAATAAAGAGAAGCAAACGACCACTTCAGACTTTAAACATTGATTATTCCAGGAATATAAAGAAGACAAGAGATAAGAAAACAAACATTCTAGTATTTTTAGCTTATGGTAGTATTACAAGAAAGATAAAAAATCAACCATATAAAGAGCTAAGATTTATATTGCTGAGAGCGGTGGCACAACTTGGTGCAAGCCAGTCTGTCTATTCTCCTTGCAGACACTGGGATGAACAATTGCCGGTTAAGATACCCGTGCCAGCTTTGGGGACGGGCTCAAGCAAGAGTCATAAGAATGAGAATCACATATAGACTATATCTTGGCCTACCGAAAACTCAACATTCTCGGGTGAATGTCTCACAGATTCCAAGTTCTCATTGCCTTCCTCTTCATTGCTTGAATCGTCGTCTTGTTCATCGACAACGTCGTCAAGAACTTCGTCTTCACCTATCAGTACAGTCAGGAACAATTGAAGATTTTTCCGTGAAGTGATCCGGCGAATCTTGTAGGAGTAGCGCAGCATGGGCAATAGTTTGCCTTGGAAACGGATGGATTTCTACTAAAGCAATATCCGCAGTCACCTTGGCCGAAAACTTCCGCGGTATAAGAAGAGTCAGCCTTCCTGTGATGTCCTTGTTTAAGGCCTGGGAGAAAAGGAATAAATCCCTAATGATATTTTGTAATTTATCTTTAAAAGTTGACAAGCGTAGTTCAAATGTCAAACATATCTTTCCCAAAGATCTGAGAGCTGTAAAACGTGACCCAGTGAGGCTGAGACTATAAGTTCTTTGCTTTTTGCATATTTGGATCATAGGTAAATTACTTTTGCCACTCTCCTTCATCTGCATCTGTACCTTTTTCTGGCTCCTCTCGGCTTTTACTATACACAAACTATGGTATTTCACTTCAGATGCTATCAAGCATGGCATGCAATTGATGCAAACGAACATTTGGTGGTCATAATTAGTCAGCACCCTTATAGTCTTATTCATTGGCCCTGACATTACATACCGCAAAGCTTCGTTTTTATCGCTTTGGCAGAAAATACACTTTAATGTCCACACAGTCAGTCCGAGCCCTGGTGACGTATCGAAATGATGACGGCGTTCAGTAGCAGCACATTCCGCCTCTTCAGAAGGCGCTGATTTGTTCTTCAACCTTTCCAATCTACCAGAATTGGCAAAGTTTGAATAGCATCCGCGCGGTGGTACTTGAATTTCTCGTCACTATTTGTGAACGTTTGCTCGATTCCAACAATAGTCTCAGCATAATCAGTATCATGAAGTTCTTTCCTCAAGCCATCGTAGGTACCTCAGAAGGGTCTGGGCTGGGACTCTGTGAAGGATTGAGATCGTTATCCCTATCGCTGTGGAACTTGCTGTCTTCTTCTCTCTTTTCGAAATCAATAAAGAGGGGACGTCAATAGAGATAGAGGAAATATCTCATATCTCTATCCGTTACAGAGTCCCAGCCCTGTTTTCTGTTATCCGTCAGATCTGATAATTGTTCTTCGAACATTAATTTTCTCTTCTGGCAGATTATGCATGGGTAGTGATCTCTTCTGTTCATGTCAAGAAGTTGTTCAGATCTCTTTGCTGAGATGGATATGAACTTTTTTGCCTGTCTCAAACCTAGAATGGATCTCCAATGAGCTAGCATTCGGTCCTTTTCCCAGCTGTTCATTTCTTCAGAGACTTGGCTTTCCGTTAGTCCACAAAAAAGCTCTGGAGTCTGCCTCCTCGTTGCCCTCTATGCCCTGGTGCTCTGGCACCCACATCAAGATTACTTTGTTCTTTCCAGCCAAATGCTTATGGATATTTTTACCCTCTCAAACTAGCTGCGAATTGCACTTGATGGATCCTAAAGCCTTTAGAGCCGCTTGACTATCGAACAGTATGTAAATGTACTCTCTTAAAAGGCATTGTTTAGGGCGCCGTCTGCTTGCGGTGGCTCCGCATTCTTCCATGATGGGCATTCTTTTACAACCACCTCATATGGAATCTCAAATTCCAGTAATGTTATTGTGGGGTTTCTTAAACATATACCTGATATACCTTAGTGTAATTTAGAATTAGCAGGTATTGTATTAAGCCTTCTGTGATATCTAATTAGGCACTGCTGACGTAATAGCTAGCGCGTATAAAAATAGACCTTCAAACGCTTTGTTTGTCCCCCCATCGAAAGTCGAATGTGAGGTTGTGTGTGACGTGAGCTAGTGCCTATTTGCCAGTAATAAACCACATAATTACTTTTTCCGCTCCTCTAGATGTCGCTGACAACAACAGAATTGTAAAATACCAGCACATCAAGGACACGTCCGATGTCGATAACATTGACATACCAATATGACAAAATATTCATCATTTGATCATAACTGATAATAATTCATGTATACCTTTTTCGTTTGCCGGTCTCGCATTTCGTCTTTCTTTCTGTCGAATGTTTTAAAGTTATTTTGTGTGTTTCACGAGGAACTTCCAACTTTATAGGTTGAATTAAATCAATCAGAGCTTTGAATAAATATGTTAAGGATACCCTTAACCATCGATAAAGAAACAGTCTTTTGATGTATTTAACAAAACACCAATTAATTTAAGCAAACATTAATGTCCCAGACTTCAGAATAAACAAATTTGAAAAGCCGGACAGTAATGCGAACAGGGCGCCATCTATCATAAAAATGCCTCAAAGCCCTATGTAAAGTAGGTGTCTGTAGCGTCGATGCAAAACTAGTAAATGGTGATTATCCAAAAAAAAATCAAATCAAGAACTTATTTGGAACAATGATCAAATTGATGCTTTCAATAAAAATCAAAGAAACTATAGGTAATGCAACTTTATTGACTTATCCAGCCCCCCTGAACTTCCAATTTGTTTGATGCATCAAATTCATATGAATATTATCCGTACGAGCGCCAAAATCTTGATTTTGGTAAAAAAGATTTCATTGATGCACATTGCTCCTATACAGAATTCTATCCGAGCTTCACGAATACATCATTGGCCGTTGGTGGTAGTCCTAAAAGATCTTTACTAGATTACGAGAAATTTACGGAAAATTCTCTTTACGTGATTGATTGCTCTCGACGTGATGAAAGTCTAAAATCCTCAGCGATCGATGTTTAAATTGAAATTGAAACAAGAACTGGTTTTCCCGATAAAACGAAAGCCTATTGCGTCATCATTCATGATTGCATAATGGAACATCTGCCACTTAGTGAAATTGTAAGAAAAATTAATTAGTCTTTGACTAGCAGTCAATCATGAAGGTTCTTTCGGTCGACATCCAGGATTTTTAACATAATCTCAAATAATAGTAACAAATTTTTTGTTAAAAAAATGGCTATTACAAATAGACATCAAGCAAATAATTATTTGTTTGAAATGCCAATGAAGTACTATTCCCTTTCGACCTACGATAAAAAGCAAGTGAACCATACAACGCTTCAAGTGCATGGCCTTCTATTTGCAAAAGGTTACGTCACTTATGAAAAGATCGATGATATAATCAAGGAACAAATGTGTGATGCTGATATAGTTTGTTCAAAGCCACCAGAAAAAGAACTTTCTTGATGAAAAAATAAGTAAATTTGATGATGGTCAAAGATACCCGAAAATAATAAACCTGGAAACTCTAGATGCTACCTGGACTTCTTCGATGACAAAGTTTAGTCAAGATATTCCAAAATGTATGAGTCATTTAACTGATAAAAATTATATGTGTAGTTTAAGAAATTTTTTTGTTATTCATAATTGGATTTCTGATTGTATACCTATGTAATTTTAAGAATTAAAATATATTTTAGTATGAAAAACAGTATTTTTATTTATTAGTATCAAATCAGCCATGGTGGTGTTAACATCATGTTTTGTGCTCTTGACTGCATTAGTAAATGGCATATTTTACATTCATCGACCTAGAAGCGCGCGAAGTGTCTTTATTTGTCTCAATAAAACAGATCAAACTTGGCCACAAAATTGGGCTGAAATGAAAGCGGGCTATGTTGAA